GGACCCGGATGGTGTGGTGGTCAAGTGCGCTGCTCCCCGGTAAGGACAACAGCGCGTGTTCGTTCCCCACTACATACACCTGCGGTCCGGAGTTTTGCAAATATCTCAGCATTACATATAAAACAAAATACTCCACTAGGCGCGCATAGAATGCAGGAACACAACAGAGAAGATTTTGAAGTATCCTTACACAGGAATCGAAAACATCAGCGCGTAAAACTCTTGAAGCGTTTTGGATCAATGCCAAAAATTCAAAAATGAACAGCAAGGAGGAGTGTCTTGTCATCACGCGTGACCTGGCGCCATACCTCAGGCTGATCCAATGACCTGACATGGACACAGTTATCGCCCATGTATTACTCTGTGCGGCGGCTATCCATCAACTAACTTAAATACTTACAACAAATAGACGGTAGGTGTTTAAATGAAGCTGTTTCTTATGCGAATACAAATTTATTTGTTTATTTTCATTTACTAGGGTTGTGAAAGTGTTTGGCTGAGTAGATCACATCTCAATTTGACCTTTCTAGGCTCTGAAGAAGGCGAAACCGCCGAAACGTCAGCTATTGTATTCTAATAAATTCTATAATAACAACCTCGTGTCTGCTCATTGAAGAAAAACATCGAATTATCAATCAATGCGGAGGTTAACAGAAAGTTGGTCTTGGGAATTGAAACGAATTAAGTGACAACAAAAGAAAAAACCACCTTGGAAATCCTTACTGTTTAAAAAGTGAACCTTTATAGGTGAATCCGGGTGAGACGGTTGCACTCGTGGGGCATTCTGGATGTGGAAAGTCGACGATGATTGGGTTACTACTTCGGTACTATGAGCAGACTGCTGGCGTGGTGAATTTCAAGTTATATATCACTTGAAAATGCTTTAAGAAATGGTGTCAATTTTAAATACTTGTGGCGGAAAGATTTATGCAGTGCAATTGTCTTGGACAATAAATAGTAAGCTCTATGATAGCCTTAAAATTCGTGCTCATCTATCGTAAACTGGGTTCGCCGTACCATATTCATGTTTGCGGTCCAGTTAAGCCATTTCGAATGGCAGCTGAAGAACGTAAAGGGAAAGACCAGCAATGTACTTTCTTCTGGGCAATGAAGGCAGATCGCTTCGAGAATGTCGAACCATGAAGAAACACGGGATAGTGAAGACTAAAATGAAATTGGCAAAATGTTATTGGTGAAATAAAGACACTGTCAGTTGGAAGACGTTGGGAAACTCCACCGCATGAATTATTGCGTCCACGTTCTTGGCAGGTGAAATACCTTCGTTGTAACCCAATTAGAGAGGAATTTGCAAGGAGGGTTACATTTAAGGCGTTTGTCTCCGACAAAAGATAAACGAAAGAACATTACCAAGCGCGATATTTAGTTAAAAAAACAAACGAGTTCTTAATTCAGGTCGCTCTTGACGGTATTCCACTTCGTGACTACAATATCTCATGGCTACGAAGCACAATTGGTGTAGTCCAGCAGGAACCCGTTATATTTGCAACCACAGTATCGGAGAATATTCGGTGAGGAAGCTTCAATCCGTCAGACTTACTCAGTTGAAACCGTCTAAAAGTTCATAATCCATTGTTCTAATAAAAGTTTTCACCTCCTAAGTCGCCTTTGCGCTAAATGAGCAATAACTAGTATTATAGTTTATAAAGGAATTACATCCAATGGTTTAACGACTCAGTTTTGTGAGGTGTGGTTCTGCCTAATACAGCAGTACATTCATTCCCAGATAAAATCGCCCAAGTCAAGGAGTTCGAAAGTTTGTTTCGGATGCCCAGTGAAAAGTAAATCTATGCTGACGAAGTCCATCGTCACAAAAAAAATTAGTTGAAACGCTGCAAACTCTTTTGGCCAGCAAAGGTCGCCGACAAACGAGTGATGCTAATGATTGGAAATATCTTGGTGTGGCTCCAGAAAAGAAGGATGCCCGACCATCAACATAGCACTGTAGTGGAAACTGTGTTAGAAACCGCTCATTTCGTTATGCCATGCAAGTAATCAGGTAAGTATGAAGCTGAGTAATATATTGGCTTAAGTGAAATTTTCGGAAATCACTTTATTTACCAAAAATGTTTTGTAGGCTGTTAAGCACCAAGTACGTGGTACTTAGTTTTCATTTGTTTAGGATGGGTGACGACAGCCTAACAAATGAAGATGTCGAGGAAGCTTGCAGACTCGCTAATGCTTTAGAATTCATCAAAAAGCTCAGCGACGTTAGTCAAATGCTACTAAGATTTTAGCGCGATCGAGAACAGCGTTTCAGGGATTCAACACGGTTATCGGTGAAGGAGCTGTGCAGCTATCCGGTGGACAAAAGCAACGAATTGCCATTGCGAGGGCACTTATTAGAAAACCGAAAATACTGCTACTAGACGAAGCAACCAGTGCGTTAGACAATGAAAGTGAGAAGGCAGTACAGGCAGCACTAGACAAGGTTTTTTTTCCGTTTCCTTCCAATTTATATTACTTAGTAAAGTTGCTGAGGCCGCCTTAGAGAAATGAACAAGCTCCTATAACTCTGCATTTATTGAAGACTCATGCACAATATTTGAGGCAAAAGAGAATCGAACCACTCTATGTATTGCACACCGACTGTCCACCATTAGAAACGCTGGAAAAATTATCGTCTTTGACAAAGGACGTATAATTGAGCAAGGTATCGAGATTCTTAACATAACGAAATCCATTCAAGTGGTCCCTATATCTAGAAATGAAGTCAGAGTTCTATAAATCGTTGATAGTAATTATCGTTGAGAGCAAAAACTAAGAAAACATGTGAAGTAGTCAGACTCTTCTCGCCCAAATTCGTTCTAAAGTGCTGACACAGTAATATGAAAACGCGCCTTTAATTCTACTTGAGGAAGAAGAAATGCTCCTAGCATCGTCCTTTCAACCGCGCGTTCAAAAACACTGAGTGGTAACTCATTCTGCTTACGCAGCAACCAGCTTTCTCACGCATGCGTTAAGGCAGAAAGAATCGCGGAGTCGAAAAAGTGGGCATAGAGTCGGGTGTTCTTTGTTCTCTTCACTACATCCCCGAAGGTCTTGAAAGCTCCCTAAGCCGCTCGCTTCCTCCTGCTCACCTCTGGAGCTTAGTCGTTTAACATGTTGATTTCCGACCTAGATAGACATAAATGAAGCATTCGGAGATATTCGTTCTGTTGAGCGTGAATGGGGCGGACAAAACTAATCCGTTCCAATGAAAATCGTTTTTGTGAGATTTAGCCGAAGGCCAATCATTCCACAAGCGCTGTCAAAGTCGACTAGCATTCTTTCCGTCTGGCTAGTGCTTGGTTTATAAGAACAATGTCATCAGCAAAGCGAAGATAGTGGAATTGCCGACTATCGTTTTTCACTTCCATTCTGTCCCATTGCAGTTTGTACATATCGTTTTCGCAGTGACAGCAAATAATTTTGTCGGGCAGGTGTCGCCTTTCCAAAGCAATCTTTCGACGTCGATGTTAATATCGTTATAGAATTGTGATATGTCGATTGCGAAATTTCTATATAGTTCACGAAGAATCTTTATATACCGAATAGTGACGACCTCGGTGTCCTTGACTACTCCTATCTCAGTTAAGTTAGAAGATTTTTTTAAATCGATGAAAGTGAGATAAAGCACTCTCTTGTACTCTCGCGATAATTCAGTAAGTCTTATTATCGTGTGGATGTGTTTCATCTTAATGAGTCCTTATTGAGACCCTGCTTGTTTGCTTGTTCACATCGCTGTCCTTCTCACCTTGTTCCGTTGGTCCTCTTTAGGATGACTCCAGTTTGTTTGTTGACGACAGAGAGCACCCAGATTGGGTGATAGCCGCAGATATCGTGAGGTCACCCTTTGTGAACAATAGCACGGTCTTGTTGGTCTTCTGTTGAGTAGTGATCTTGCATTTAGGTAGGTAACGTGAGAAGAGCCGAACCAGTGTGTTTACGAGGACTGGCGGAAGGTTCTTCAGTTGTTCAGATCTTATCCTGTCCGTACCTCGTGATGCTCAACTTTTCACGGACGAAATGTCATTGTCGGATTTCGGAAGGGAAAATTGATGGGACGACCCATACTCCTTCATTTCATATGAAGGCAGGAGGACGATAGACGATCTTTGCCGGTTAGTAGCGAGGCAACGTGGCAACGTGGCGTGTCTTGTCCATGTCGAAGCTGCAGAGGCTGGGGAAAAGCCTTTTGAAATCATTCTATCGCATCGGTAAAGAATCAAACAGCAGGAGGTCCGGATAGGGTGAGATTTGAACACCTGACTATCCTTCCGCTAGTCCTCGCAAACACAAAGGCTTGGCTCTCCTGTCAGAATGCAAAGTTCCTACTCGGTAAAAGAACAAGAAAACCGTACTGTTGTCCAAGAATGGTGTCCTCCACGATGTCGACAACTATTTCCCAATCCGGTTGTGTCTGTCGTCTACAAAATTTTCACTCGAGTCATCCTAAACAGGATTGACAGAACCCTGGACCAAAGGCAGCCATGTGACCAACCAGGGTTCCGAAAAGGATTCGGCACGATGGACAACATCCACACAACAACAAAACTCAACGAAGTATCGCGAAAGTATAAAAGACCGCTCTGTCTGACTTTCATCGATTTAAAGAAGGCTTTTCATTCAGTTAAGATAGGAGCAGTTATGGGAGCCCTGGACAGCCAGAGGAATCCCTACTCAGTGCATAAACATTCTTCATAAACTGTATAAAAGTTGCAAAACCCAAGATATCACCATTTTACAACAACATTAACATCGGCGCCAAAAGAGAGGTTAGGCAAGGCGATACCGCCTAAGCAAAATTATTTGCTGCCACCATCGAAAACGTTATGCCAAAACTTATAACACCGATCATTAATCAGGTACAACGAATGCTAGCCGACTTTGACAACGTTTGTGGAATGGTTGCTCTTCGAGTGAATCTCACAAAAACGACGTTCATGAAGAACGGATTGGTTTCGTGTGCCGCACTCACGCTCAATGGAACGAATATCTCCGAATGCTCCAGTTATGCCTATCTAGGTCGGGAACAATTAATTGCTCTTCTAAAACACTATGTCGTTGTCGTTTGATTTTCGGACTTCTTTAGACTACTGAAAACGACCTTCGTTTCTTTTCTTGTCACTCAGTCACATAACACTTCCACTTTAAGAATAAAAGCAAGAGAACAAAACGAAAAAGTCTAGAGAACAAGCAAGGCTATCATCAGAAACCGTTTCAAAAACAGGAAGAAAAAGCAAATAGTAATCACCAGGCACTCATAGTGAACTGATGGAAATCAAGAACGGCATTTATCTTGGCATGGTGAACGCACAACAAATAGCCAAAGGCGAGGAAGATACCACACTTGACGGTAAGTACTCTACCTTCTCTTGTTTGAGCAGCGTCTCGTAAAGTGTTTCCAACAACTTCAATTCTACCCGGTCGCCGTTTCAGACGTGGACCCACTGCATTTGCAACGCGGTTTTACACGTCCAGCTTCAGTTGTTGACATACAGACCCATTCGGAATTGAAGAGAGAATCGACACGAATACGTCAAAGCATGATTAGCACATCCACGCAAGAGACGGCGTGGGAGCTTGAAAGGTTTGCAAACTTCACTGAATTGCTCCAAATCCGGCGAAATCAAGTTGGTACAAATATTTTCGTAAGGGCAAAATTGAAATGAGTTTCTTAAATGGTTACCTACGTTGCTTAGTAACGAAAACACGCAGCATATCATCGATTTTAAATTTAAAAGACAAAGGGGAGTAAAACACGATGGACAACATCCACACAACCGTAAGACATTTGTTTCGTCTATTGAGTGCTACTCGACTAGTGGAGGAAATCCAAAGCCACAGAAACCGAGTTTGGAGAATTCTTTTAAGACGCTCTACTACATTCATATCCTGTTCATTGATCCACTTTAGAAGCGGTGGTAGGGAAAAGATGCGGAACCAGCTTGTTGACAGTAGTTGCAAGGACATATTTAATCTAGAAACTTTGGCTAGAACTAGACCATCATGCAGAACATTCTTCTTTCAAAGGTTGTCCCAGAATTTAGTTCAGTTCAACATTTTGCAGTATTAATTCAATTGCAAGCGACGTATGTTAGTTTGAGAGGAAATGGTTCAGCAATAGAGTTTTCGTAAATGTCAAATAATAATATCCTGTTTTATCGATCCGTGCCTTCAACTTCCCACTATCTGCTGGTCATAATGGACATTAGCATTAATATCCCTTACATTATACGAACTATGCTAAATCGAGCATACGTGACTAACCGCAAACAGTAAAAAGAGCTTGTCACGTTTCTAAGCTCTGATCGCATAGATAAAGAGGTACATCTAACGGGCACGCCAGTCACAACCTTGAAGTCTTAATGAGGTAAAGGAAAAATGGTTGTATTAGGGGAGAGCTTCAAATTTCTACGAAGGTTTTATTGTAGATCTATTTTTGTCTTTTAAGCGCACGTGAAGAAATGATGGATGAAGGAGGCATGGAAGCATCTTCGCTTGATATCCTAACCTACGCTAGACCAGTAAGTGGTTTTTGAAATTGGAACATTCCCGGAGAGTAGCCGACACTCTTATGATCTACTCTTTTCAGGAACTCCCAATGGCTTTCGTTGCAATGATTTTCACCGTACTTCGTGGACTGACTTGGCCAATTTTCTCCATCATCTACGGAAAACTGTTTTTGGTAAAACATTTTTGGAAAAACGAAAACACTTTCATTTCTCAGTCAGGTCAAAACGCTATCAATGAAACCGGATGGTAATCACGAAATAACCTAAGCTATTTGCAAAACTCCGACCACAGGCCAGGTTCGAACCGCGATTACACTTTCCCGTCGCACACGTGCTTCCTTCCACTGCACCACCGACGTCCTTGATTTGCTTTTCTGTCAGTCAGCTCTTTATCCTATAGGTGCTATCATCAATCAACTATCAACGGAAATGGTCTGAGGAACACAAATTTGCGGTGGTTATCACTCGACATCCCGGGTAGGGTAGTCACGGTTTCGAAGGTGCCCACGGGTCCGAGTTGCAAATACGTTAACATAGTTTTGGTTGAATTTTACACAATGGCATGATGTGAAAAAATAAAAAGAAAGCTCTCGGCGTTGATCAATCCTTGAGGGAAGCGCCATGCATCCAACTTCATTAAGTATCGTTTGGATATAACTGAATGTATATCTGGCCTTTACAGTGACTCGCGGTGGTCTAACGATGTATAGAGCCAGTGCTGCTATCCTCCTAGAGAAGTCTGGTACCAATTTGCCAACCCCGGTGGGATGGAAGGCATGGTGGGCCATGGGCGTGGGGAGCGATTCCACATGTGTATTGCAGGGCTCCTCCGACCACTGCGCCACACGCGCAGTTAAAAATCCGCCTGTGAAAAAGTAGTAGGCAGCAAATAGAAAGTGAGAACCGTAATCACGAAATAATTATTCGGCACAGAATGCTTTAGTAGCTGAATGTGAAGACAAGTATAGGTTGTTGAAATATTTTGATCTGTTACAAAAAATCACAAACCGCTTGAAAATTTGGTTAGAAATTTTTTTTGTTTCACATGACTTGTTATGACGCCTACTCTGCACATCCCAATACTTGTTGCATTCGTTTCTTTTTCCTTGCATTCATCGTACTCAGTGATCTCCCAGCATTTCGGGTGTTGTTTCTGCTACTCCTTGAGGACTTCGTCATCTTTATGAGTGCCGTAGAATGTTGGTCGAGTCGATTCTCCTTGTAATCTTAGAAATAGCCAAGCCAAAGCGTTCCCACCTGGACAGGAGGAGAATGTTGGGAGGTGTCGAGCCAGCGCTTTTGCTTACTGCTCGATGGCATCACTACCCACTACGCCAAACCACTCCGCAAGCTTAATAATTTAGTATCATCGATGGCAACTGCAACAAGGTGACATTTCATTAATAAAGCAACATATTACAATTGTGTTGTTGCCTACTATTTGCAAATAAGGCCCCGAAGACCAATTCGCTGTTCCCAAAAGTAGATAAAAATCCTAGAATTTCTCATTCTAGCTGTTGTCGAATCCGGATCCAACGATGCTGGCAAGAGGTAACGTCACAAATTCTGTCTTCTTCATGCTACTGGCGATAGGGTCCGGCATAACAACATTTTGCTCGGGTTCACTGTTTGGTATTACCGGAGAAAAAATGGCGATGCGTCTGCGAATGGATGTGTTTAAGGTAAAGCGCCAATTCTTCAATTTTTTAAGCGAAGAGAAATTTGCCGTTAATAGTAGACTCAAAGGCATAAAAAAGTACATATCTTATGTATATATTTATGTATATATAAAGTAATTGAAGGCCTTCTATAAAATGGTTCTTCCGGATGAGACTCGTCCCTTCGTGCGATATACCACTCCATTATGTATGACTTGATAGTTGAATACTTGGATGGCCCGTCCTCACTGGTTGTGCGGGCCCCAGCATAATCTCCATTCTTCGGAGTTTTGCTGGGTTAGCCGCTGTGGTTCCTTGGAGTCCCGAGGTTAGTCTGGCCAAAGTCTGCTCCAAATCTTCACCACCACTGGTAGTCTCCGCCCCTTGTGGATCAGAGAAGGATTTGCCACCGTGCGACTAGTTTGATACCAGGACAGTGATTGATCACTGGTCTTGGTTCACTCTTAACTGACCTTCCTAATGGAAACGTCGGTCCTTCTTGGCCTGGGCGACCCTGGTGGAGAGATGAATATTCTCACTGTACATCGCTGCCCGACACCTAGGAGCACCTCCTAGCTATTGTGAGGCAGTAAATCATTGGAAGACTGGCACATAACATATTAATGTTTCTAGAAATCGACTTTCATTTCAAGAACAAGTGTTATGTTTTCGAGCTGCAATTGTCCTCATAATGTGAAGTACTAACTCTATATCGTTTCAATAAATTTCACTCAACAGCGTTTCAATGAATGTCTATGTGTGTAGTATTCTAGAGTAGTATTACGGGATTTAAATCCATTCTAATCTATCTGGTACTCATCTCCCTCTAGTTTCCTTAACAAGTCTTGGTTTCCATTCGTGTTTTCATTCGGTGAGTGTTCTTCACAGAATATCATGCGACAAGATGCCTCGTACTTTGACGATTCGAAGCACAACACCGGCAATCTGACGGCACGCCTCGCGACGGACGCGCCTAATGTGCAAGCGGTAGGTGTGGGCAGACAGACAACATGTTAACTAAGCCAACACTGTCGTTCTCTTTTTTACAGCAATCGTGAGGATGTTATTCAACACACGTTTAATTCCTCACAAATATAACACATACAACACAACTGTAGCTGACGTTTCGGCTGTATCGCCTTCCTCAGAGCCTGGAAGGGTACACTAATATGTAATCTACTAGGCTAAACGCTTCAACAACGCAAACAGAAAGATGAAAATCTGAACAATAATTACACGATCACCGGGTTCTCGAAAAACCCACCGTTTTTATCTGTTTTCCACCAAGGAAGAACAACCGCTTAGAGTCACATATGGTTGACTACTGCACCACTTCACATCAAAAATCAGTTCTGAGTTAGGGGTAGACCACGCGTTATCTCAGGGCATTCTTTTCTGCTATTCGTTCTCGGATTGTTGGAATTTATCCAAAAAACCTCCAGAAATTTTGCACGTTGGTGCTTTAGTCTGTTTTGCGATGATAGCGACTTTTACATCAAAATCTTCTCCGCTATGTTTTTCTATCCTCTGTGTGTCTTGCTTTGATTTTCGTTTGCCATCTAGGTGTTCTTTTTATGCGGATACATAAAATTTATAATAATAACATATATAATTAATAGAAAGTCGATCATGGGAACTGTTAAAAGAAGTCCCAGGAAGACATTTTCGATTTGTGAAAGTAGCGCTGTCACTAAGACAAAAGATCGTCTTAGGCAGACGATCCACTTTCTCCGCCGCTGCATTCAACATCGAGTCGTTCGGAAGTTCATAAAACAGAAACGGCCTCACGAGATATGCCATAAATAAGAGGACAGCCAACAAGTACGAGGAATCGAAATGGAGCTACTTCGGGCCGCACTACGAAGCAAACGGAACGATATGTTCGCAAGGAGGATAAAATGTTTGACGAAGAAACGTTTTTGTGCTTTGTATTTGGAGGACCAACTTTGGAGGAGAATAGTTGATGGGTCAATACTGATATGCAGTTCTTTTAGGTCTAATGCTGAAATGACCTTAAAGCGAAAGTTTAATAATCTGTTGACTAATTCGCTTGTCTCGGCTTCAAGAAATCACAGACAAAAGAACTTTGCTAGGAGTCAAAGCACTGTTGATAAAGCACGAAAGAAATCTAGGGTTACCGTGATATGGGGCATATCAATACCTGAGAGTGCGCGTTCGTTATTAGAATTGGGCCCAAGTTTTGCACCATCACAACCGATTTTTAAAACGACCCTGCGTAGGATAGCATGCAACCTTTACGAGCTTCAAGATCGACTTCGCTATCAGGCCAAACAAGGAACATCAAATAGAGGTGGAAGCCAAGAGGCGGCGACATTACCACCATCTCCTTTCCCTAGAACGTTTTTTAGACAGCAGTACCCAACGACGGAATTGACAAAAAATTCCGCATGTTTTCGGACGGCGTTCTCAACACTCTTAATCACTATCGCGATAGAAGACTTATCCCTAACCTTACAGCCGCGCAAAAGTGTGGAATGCGAGAAATTAGAGATTTGTTAAATTCAAAGACCATTAGGCTATCAGTTAGTAATAAAGGCGAGAGCTCGTAGTTATTCCCTGCCAGCTAGATGTTAAGATAACTGAGGAACATCTTAGTTATGCTACCCTTTATCGCCCATCATCTGAAAGGGAACACAAAAGTCAATAGCAAAAACTAAGCAATCAGTGGGTCAAAGTGGCAAAGGCGGCAGGCTTAAAATCGTCGGTTATTTCGCACTTTAAAGTCAGTAGACCAACAAGCACCGTCTTATACCTACTTATTAAAACACATAAGTTGGTATCACCTGATGATCTTGCGTCAACTAATCCATCATCATTTAAGACTAGACCAATCATCAGCTGTTTAGATGGGCCAACGGATAGAATAACATGGTTTCTAAGCCTAATATTAACCCAGTTGCTTAAACATTTGCCAGATCACCTCACGAACACCCAAATGTTCCTAGAACGCCTACGTAACGCGTCTCCTAATAACACGTGCGTCATGGAGCCTTTCGACGTTACCGCCCTGTACACCAACGTATCAAATGACTCCGCAATGCAAACCATCTTCCAACTTCTTGTTGAGCATGAAGGAAGAATAAATATGCATGGCTTGTCCATCCAGCAGCTTATGGCTCTCTTAAAGGAGTGCCTAAACTGCTCGATTTTCAGATGGTCTGGGAAATATTTCGCGCAAATAAACGGGTTGGCAATGGGACAGCGATTGGCACCAAGCCTTGCCATTGCGTTTATGTCTAAGATAGAAGCCCCCGTTCTCGATCTCCGGCCACTACTCTACTGCAGATATGTAGATGATTGTTTTGTCGTCTTCTCTACGCAGGAGGAGATGGACAAATGCCTTGAATTATTGAACGAGCAGTCCGAGTACATAAAGTTCACCCGGGAGAAACCGAGAAAAAACTGGCTTCCGTTTTTGGACGTTTAAATAAACCTATCAAGTAGCTGTTACCTGACAAAGTGGTATCGAAAGCCAAGTAACAAGAACATCCTTGTTCATTTCCTTTCTTCCCACCCTTCACACACAAAGAGGGTGCTTGTGAGAAACATGTTTCGAACAGCCACCTCTGTGTGCACAAGTAGAGAACTGAAGGAAGAATCGCACAACTTGACTCAGGAAATAGACGTCTCCAATGGCTAAGAAATAGTAACCCTACGAGAAAAATTTGCAAGGAGAGCGACGCACCAAAACGAAGGGTTTGGCTGAAACAAAATTCCGTTTGTCTTGCCCTTCATTAGCGATGAAATAAGGTAGCTATAAAACGTTGCTTAAGAAGAACCTGTCTAGAGAAATCGGTAGCGATAGTTGAAATACCAACGAATACTCTTCGTCGCCAGTCAGTTCGTAACCGCCTATACGACCGTCTATGTGAAACACAGAATTGCGTAATTTGCCCTTATGGCAGGGACAGTGACTGCATGAGTTCAGGTACGATGTATCTGATCTCTTGTAATAATTGCGGAGGTGAATATATTGGCGAAACGGGAAGACTTTTATGTATCGGCATAAAAGAACACCTAGATGCAAACGAAAATCAAAACAAGGCACATCAATAGGCATGCATAGGATACAAAACATAGCGGAGAAGATTTTGATTTAAAAGTCACTAAGTCATTTGATGTTAAAGTCGTTATCATCGCACGGGAAAATGAAACACCAACGCGCAAATTTCTCGAGGCTTTTTGGATAAATTCCAAAAATCCGAGAATGAAGAACAAGGAACAATGCCCTGAGATAACGCGTGATCTAGTTCCGTATCTCAGAACTGATTTTGATGTGGGGTGGTGCAGTAGTCAACCATATGCGACTCTAAGCGGCTGTTCTTTCTCGGTGGAAGGCAGATGAAAAGCGATGGGTTCTTCGAGAAGCCGGTGATCGTGTAGTTATTCAGATTTTCATCTTTCTGCTTGTGTTGTTGGAACGATGGACCTAGTAAATTACATATTAGTGTACCCTTCCAGGCTCTGAGGAAGGCGATAGAGCCGAAGCATCAGCTGCCGTTGTGTTGTATGTGTTGTATTTGTCCAGTGTCGAGGTTAATAGAAAATCGATCTTGGGGACTGCTAATCCAAAACTAATGCCATAGGAAAATTAAGATATCATAAGAATAGTACAAGCAGTTCATGTGATTGGATTCGGTGACCCGAGTCTTTTACTTTCGAGAAAAAGAAGTCTGACAAACATATCGCTAGCAGTATAAGCTCCACGTTCAACAATGAATAGCCCTCCCGATTACGGAACAGAATGTCTATACATCGTGATTAGTGATGGAATAGCAAACTGCTCAACTGTTGTTGTTTACTTGTCGTAAATGTGCACAGGCAATTGACCAACGTCTTGCCGAGGTGATGCAGGGGATCTCCGCTCTGGCCACCGGCATTATTGTCGCGTTCTGCTACGGATGGAACATGGCAATGTGCGGTCTGGTCACCGCTCTGATACTCGGTAAGACCATTCAACATAGACTTCTTCACATTCTTAAAATCACTCGAAAACTATCAGAGTTTATTGTAAATGGTTACAATAATCTGGTGGTCATTTTTGATTTGACGGTGGGTCTGGCATGGACGCTGTTCACCATATCCATGATAAACTTCATTTGTAACTTGTCTCACCCCAGAGTGGTGTGTAAGTTACTTCTAAAACTCGTTTTTAACTTCTAGAGGTTATTGACATGATTCCTATCGCACCTACATGCCATTTATCTCTTACCACCCTCCTCCTGAGAAAGATATTTTAGTTATTGCTCAATCTTCTGTAGCTCAGTACCTCAAATTCAGAGGACAAAAGGATGTCGACTCAGCAATGGAAGCTAGCAGGGTCAGTCACTTCAAATAGGGGCAAATTTTTATAAGAAATAGATGATATGAATAAAATTAGGTGATCTAGGAACATATGAGCTTTTTATCTGCCACGTTCTTCAAACAATTTTGTTTCAGGCTTTCACTCTCAGAAGTTCAGAGTCCGATAACTGTTTAGAGATTTACATTATTTTACATTCTATGTGGAATGAATTAATTCACTTGAAGATAGTCACCGAGTCAATTTCCAACATTCGCGCAATCCAAGCGCTCTGCAAGGAAAGCTACATGTTCCAAGCATATTGTGCTGCAGCGCGTGAACCTCATAGAAGAGCTATGATACGAGGTGAGCAGAAATATTGCCGAAGCCACCACCATTCCTACAGCAACGATTCACACCTCATGGTTAACTCTTAAAATATTGAAACCTTCCTTTCTCTTAAGCTTATTCTCAGTATTCAAAAACCGAAACATAATAGAGAGGCGAAGATTTGTTTTTTTATACATGTATACCTGAATTGCCCATTTGTACGAGATGTGACACCACAACAACAGTCCGTAGTGATTTCCCAGCGATTACCGTCAATGTTAATGTGCTGATCCAACTATGGTAACGTCTGAAAGAAATACTAAGTGATTTATGGATTACTTACATCTAAGAACACATCGAGCAGACGTGAGATATAATACAATCACGTCCGCTCATTATAAAGGTGTCCGCACTAAAAAGGACACCTCCATAAGTTAGTCTTTTTTGGTCTATCTGTGCCCAAATTTCTGAGACCATTTTTTATCGTTCCACCTACCTGTTTATGAACAACAATATGGAATGTGGAGAACAAAGGATGAAGCTCTCTGCGTTTATCAGTTCCAGTGGAATGTGCTATGTATTCGACTTCAATAAGCATTGCTAAAGGCGATTGAATGGACCTATACAGACACTCGTGGTGGTCTATCGATGTATCGAGCCAGACAAATCTGGTACCAATTTGCTGACCGTCAAGGGATGGAAGGCTCGGTGAGCCTTAGGCTCCGAGACTAATCCCCATATGTATTGCAGGGGGCCTCCCAACACTGCGCTACACGATCATGTAGTGTACAGCAGGAAAAGTAAATCTGGCAGTGGTTGCGATGATCCCTTCGATCACGTGTTATGGAAAGCATGACCGTGCACAAAGTTCATCAGTGGTCTAGAGTTGCTGTTTCTTAATTTTGAAGGTTCCATGGCATACGAGGTGTGCCTGTAGAGATTAGCTTATAGTCCGAACCAAGTCAGTCATGTTACTTCACAAATCTGGAACTGTTGCCTTCTTCATGCTTTGGGTTCCGACTAGGACTTAAAAGGCAGGGATTGGGGATCCTTTTCTTTAGCCGCAGGTTGAAGTTTGTGCAGCAAAAAAAGACTGGAGTAGAATTTTTCTGTAATCAATTTCGTACAATGATGGGCGAAAATGAGAACCTCATTAGAATATCTTAAATCTAGTAGCACAACGTTACATGAAGGAAGGCACAAAAAACAATCTCTCAGAACTGATTCTCCATCAAGCTGTTTCCAGTAGTTTTCCGTCCATTAAAGGCTTCTACAGAAGTATTCTGAATGCAACCTTTATTATGGGATGTGTGAAATTTGCAACGGTTGGTCTTAGAACATTCAATACTTTCTTAACAACTGAAGCTTATTTCTCTCATGTTCCCATTCTAAGTCCTCCGACGAACAGCTCATACTCCACAATCAATTTTTACTTAATATGCTAATCATACTCTCAACGCCTTACTACCTCATCGTGGATGCAAGGTGTTCCTGGGTGTCAGGTTGCGATGTAAAGCAGCGGTATGTAATATGGGGTATTCATCCCCCAGCAGGGTCTCTCAGGCCGAGAAGAAGTTCGGCGTTTGCATCAGGAAACTCACCTAAGAGTAAACCAATGCCAGGATCCACCACCATGCTAGTATCAAACTAATCACATGATAGCAAATCTCTCTGTGATCCACAAGAGCCGCCACTGCCGATGGTGGTGACGATCTGGGGCATACTTTAGGCTGGCTGACCTCGGGACTCCAGGGAACTGCAATGGCTAAACTAGCAAAACTTGGAAAAAATAAAAATTTTGCTGGAGAGCGCAGAACCAGTGAAGGCGAGCTATCCAAATATTCAAGTATGCTAATCATACATCGAAATAACTCTTCGCAAAACAGGTCCCAAGGGAGAAGAGACGATCATGGGTGAGCTCAATGAAGCAGGAAAAAAGATTGGATTACACATAAATAGGATGAAAAACCAATTCGTGAAAAACCCATGGCGCGAAGGCGAACAAATTGGGTGGTTCTCTGACTAGGGGAACAGCAAGAAGGAGGAACTAGCCAGAAGAAGGAGGTCGGCATGGGTTGACTTCGGGCCTCTCGAGGGAGCCACCGACCAACTAACGAATTCAAAATTCCACAATTTCAAATCAACAGTCCTCCTAGAGCTTTTATGCGCTAATTTTGTATCTTCTCAACTCATTCTACTCAAAAGTTTCACCTTCTGAAGAACACATATGACGTGACCGTGTACGTCGAATTGTGAGGATACCTCCTAGTTTTCACAACACAATACTAGACTCGTATGAAATGCTGAGATATTTGCAAAACTCCGGACCACAGGTGTATGCAGTGGGAAACGAACACGCGCTGTTGTGCTTACCGGGGAGCAGCGCACTTCACCACACCATCCGGGTCCTTCGTTTGGCCTGTCTCTCAGCTAGTTCTATCGATCTTTTTGCCATCAGCAATCACCCGTCAACGGGATTGATCTGGGGAGCCCAAGAGACAGGCAAAACGAAGGACCCGGATGGTGTGGTGGTGAAGTGCGCTGCTCCCCGGTAAGGACAACAGCGCGTGTTCGTTCCCCACTGCATACACCTGTGGTCCGGAATTTTGCAAATACCTCAGCATTTCATACGAGTTATATTTCGCAACATACCCTGCCATTAAGAAGAAAAAGGCAGTAAATAAAAGGGCTAAGACAATACTAGACTAGCCTATAATTGACATTTTCAAAAGCTTTTCGATAATTGATTAATTGGAAAAAGTGTTTATGAACTCACCATTTCCTCTGTAAAAGTTTCTAAACTACCTATAAGTCCATCTTAAATTTGCCATCTTTACAAGAAATATTTCATGGCTTTGGCAATCGCTATCGTTGGCGTTAGCAAACAGTTTCGTCATGCTCAACTTTGCGGTCGCCTACGCATTTGGTCTTTGGCTTGTGAAAAATGGATGGAGCACACCGTTCACGGTCTTTCAGTTGGGTTAACTAGCGTACATTTTAAGAAACAAATCACATAAAATACGTCTGGACTCTGAGAAAGGAGAAGTCGCCGAAACGTCAGCCACCAAAGAACAGCAACAATAAGAAAGAAATTACTAGATTTTAAAAGAGATATGAATTACTATTAGGGCGGTATCTATATAGTAGTATAGTCCTAATCCATTATCATAATGGTCAATTGGATTTTGTAATGCTTAAGACCTAAATTCGATTGAGGTAGCTACGTCGGTGCTTTATTCTTGAGTAGACACGAGGTTGTCAATAAGGTTTTCAATAATGGCTGACGTATCGGCGGTTTGGTCTTCTTCACAGTTTAGAATAATCAGATTTACAAACAATTTACTCACTTATGTCATTCTTATCTAGGGGGGAGGGGAAGGGGCAAGCACTGGCTGAATTTGACACTTCAGGCTTGTCGGTTTATGAATAAAGCTAATGAGGAAGATGGGAGACATATGAGACAAGTGGCTCATCTAAGCTCGTTCATACCAACAAATACAATACAATGATCTTTGAATGTTGCAATCTGCCAATCTGATGACCTTATGAGAATCCCATTCTACGCATAAGCAAGAAACAACACGAATTTCTGGCTTACTTCAACGATCAAGGACCACAGACGCTACCATCAGAGATTTCTGCGAACAGATAGTGTCCGAACATGTAACTCTTTCAAACGAAGATCATAGAAGAGAAATATGATGTTGTCAAAGTGCCACTAGCTATATACACTATCAAGAAGATCGAGGTAAATGAAGAATGAGACTTTGCTGGCCTGCTCATGTCAATGAAGAATAATCAGTGAAATGACGGTAGAAAAGAGGACAGCGTGCATCATTTGCCCTTGCAAATTGCCCTTGATTATCTGATACGTTGTTTGAACGTTTTCTAGTTCTAAAGAACTAAGGTTTCGATGACGACACCATTTACAGAGCAGAGAGGGAAGTGTTATTATGTACCCTAAACAGCTTCATAACCTCAATGAAAACTCAAAGCTTAGAATGAAAAAGCTTTCCAATACAGTGGAAGTTTTTGAAAGTTAGTCTGCACTTCTAAACAGGACAAAATCAAAGGATAAAAAGGATGAAGCTTTCGACGTTTATCAATCCCTGCGCCATGTATTCGACTTCATCAAGCATCGTTAGAGGTGACTGAATGCATATCTGGCCTATACAGTGGTTCCCGGTGGCCTACTGATATGTCGAGTCAGCGCTGCTATCCCTCTGTACAATTCTGGTACCAATTTCCGATCCTGTAGTTATGGAAGGCTTGGTGAACCTGAAGCGCACGATAGAACCAAAGTGTATTGCAAGACACCTCTGACCGCTGCGTTATAAGCGCATCCTATCATCTTATCAAAGATAATATGTAAGAACACAGAAACTATTCGATTAGTAGTAAGGTTAATTGAAAGTCTTTCTATGGAATTTTGGACACTATTTCGACCGACAAGTTTTCAGATATCGATAAATGAATAGTGGCTCTGCCAGTTTGAACATTTTATTTTTCTAATGTTATTTTCCCTTTTAGCTAGACGAAACTGTTTCTGTTCAAACAAAGAAATATCCGAACTAAACTGATCCGTGGATTTCGCTCAATGGCTGATTACCGGGTTGCTATTTCGCTGCCTCAGCCGAGAAATTCAAAGTTAGCTGCAGACCAAAAGCAAACTTGTACCCGCCCTCAGAAGAAAGTGGCTAAAGAGGATAGATCACCTGTTTCTACTGCATGGATTTGGGACATCATACCTTGTCCCGGGATCATAAGGATCATACCTTACGTAGGCATGCTCATGCATGCTTGTATGGGTGCTTTCTCGTCGATGCAGATTGTATTCCACGAGTCAATTCAACCAAAAAGTTTGCAAACAAAAGACTGGGAAGTACATGAGAGGTGGATGGGTGAGCTTCTAGTCAGTAAGCTTCACGCTTACTATGGGAAGGATGGACAAATTTGGGCGTGAGTGAGTATTCCCATCCTCTATGATAAGAGCTCGAGAGGCTGGTCGTAGGTATTGTTAGCCATTCTCAGTGAAATCTTATTGCATTGATCCAAAAAAACACTTGATACGGCAATGTTGAGTAGGAAAAGTATAGAGGTGCCGCTC